TTCTTTATATAGGAGGTCTTATATAGAGGCGCATGTCCAATGCCCTGGGTGAGGTCAACATCAGGCTGGAGCTCTATTTTAAAATCAACATTCTTCTGTAGGGGGGGCAGTTCATCTGATGCTTTCTTTGAGAAGCAGTCCTCCCGGCCTTTCAACCATTCTGGTAAGTTGCTGATCAGCTCCTCATCAGACTCATCCTCAGCTCCCACTAAACCCCGCTTCTCCTCAAGCTGTTTATCAATTTCATACAGACTGGTTATGAAGACTGTTGACTTCTTGTTCTTCATATAACCATGGAAGGAAGCAGCCCCAATGAAGTTCATATCCATCATCTGTGGTGCTGTCTCCTCCCAGGTCAGCCCCTGCCTTGTCTCAGGCATCACGACTGAGCTGGTCCCTTTCAATCTGCGGAGCTGAGCCTGATGCTCCTGTCTGATCTCCTCATCCAGCTTGATCTCTCTTCGTTCCACATCCGCCTGATGCTCAGGCTTGGGGTCTGGGCGCTTCAGTACTGACCAGGGTACTATCTTCAACATCGGCTCCGCCACCTGTTCAGGGATAGACCGTTCACTCGGCCAAACCAGGCGTTGGTTTTTAACATCAAGCCATATATCCTGTGCTGCCAACCACTTCCGTCCCAGGATGACAGGGTGCTGGCCTAGGTCTGTTACCAGCAGAGGGACATTCTGAAATCTCCGGCCATCCACCCAGAGGTTTAGGGTCAATGTGCGGTCTATCACCCCGCCGGGGGCGCCATTGTATCCCTTCATGCGGCATTTGAATGGGAGTTCTTGAAACTTCCTATCAAAGAATCTTGCCAATTCTATGGCATATCGGGTATCAATAAAATTCGCTCCATTTGCTCCAGTATCAGCAAGAGAATTTGTAGAAGTAGCAATTCCATTGTAGGCTAATTTGATTGGCACATTAAAGCTTTTCCCCCCAATCAAGTCCTTCATCTCAAACCTCTCACAGACTATTGAACTACCTGAGGTGGAGTCTTCTCTCAGGCTCACTCTTTTCCCGAATCTGCTGAAGGCTCAGGGGCATCATTCCCTGTGAGCTCAGCAATCACCTGCTGGGACTTCTGCTTTGCAGGGCAGTTCCTGGCAATGTGGCCTTTTTCCTTACAGTAGTAGCACTGAATATCCGGACGAGAGCTCAAGGCCTCCTTCACAGTAGGGGATTTTGTTGTAGAGATGCTGGGGGGTGTTTGACTGTTGGCGGTCCGCAGGGTGTTCTGCTTGAAGGTATTAGGCCCATTTCCCCGCGAGCTCTTTGATTTCTGGGTGGCATTGATTGTCTGGAGGGTGTGAGCTGCCTGCGCACAGATTTTCTGAAACTCAGCATATGTATCAGTGGTCGCATTGGCTACTGCTACCATCTTCTGGAGGTCAAAGGACAGCTTGTCATTGAAGTCTGTCTTGTAGTCCCCCCTGGCAATCTTGGCCTCACCTGCCAGGTGTAAGAATTTTGTGACAAATTCATGATAATTGTCCCCATTGCGCATAATCAGCTTGCGATAATCACTCTTGGCATTTTGCAGCTTGTTAGCATCCTCATATATTGACTTGAGGTGCTCAAATATCTCTTCTGCAGTCTGATATCGCTCGGGGTGGTCCTCTTCCATACAGGGCGCAATGTGACGTGCCGCGTCCCCATCAGTCCGGTTTTCGATGTATGCAATCCTCATGCGTTCAGTAGGGTAGTGGTCAGCGTTCTCCCGGAGCTTGTTCTTCATCCGGGAGAGCCAGTGTTCAAATTTTGGCTCCTTGCCGTCAGTGAGGTGTTTTGGGTCATCAATCTTGACAGACCTCCGGGTAGTCTCAGAGGGGGTGACACCTCGACTTGCTGCTTGGTTGCTGACTGTCATGCGGACCAGGGTGTGGCTAAGTTCATCGCGTTCAGCAATTAGCTCATCAATCTGGCTTTGCTTGACAGCGGCCTGGTCAGTGGCGTTGTTCCGTTCCATCCTCAGACGTGTGATTGTATCCCTTAGTGTTTTTTCATCGTCAAAGATGCCATCAAAGA